CCCAGGAGTGGGATTGCTGGGTCATATGGAAGTTCTAATTCCAGTTTTTTAAGAAACCTCCACACTGTTCTCCATAGTGGCTGTACTAGTTTGCATTCCCACCAACAGTGTAAGAGGGTTCCCTTTTCTCCACACCCTCTCCAGCATTTATTGCTTGTAGACTTTTGGATAGCAGCCATTCTGACTGGCGTGTAATGGTACCTCATTGAGGTTTTGATCTGCATTTCTCTGATAATGAGTGATGTTGAGCATTTTTTCATGTGTTTGTTAGCCATCTGTGTGTCTTCTTTTCAAAGAAGACACAAATAGATGGAGAAATATACAGTGTTCATGGATTGGAAGAATCAATATTGTGAAAAAGAGTATAGTACCCAAGGCAATCTATAGATTCAGTGAAATCCCTATCAAGCTACCAACATTATTCTTCACAGAACTAGAACAAATAATTTCACAATTTGTATGGAAATACAAAAAACCTCGAATAGCCAAAGCAAATTTGAGAAAGAAGAATGGAACTGGAGGAATCAACCTGCCTGACTTCAGGCTCTACTACAAAGCCACAGTCATCAAGACAGTATGGTACTGGCACAAAGACAGAAATATAGATCAATGGAACAAAATAGAAAGCCCAGAGATAAATCCACATACCTATGAACACCTTATCTTCGACAAAGGAGGCAAGAATATACAATGGAAAAAAGACAACCTCTTTAACAAGTGGTGCTGGGAAAACTGGTCAACCACTTGTAAAAGAATGAAACTGGAACACTTTCTAACACCATACACAAAAATAAACTCAAAATGGATTAAAGATCTAAATGTAAGACCAGAAACTATAAAACTCCTAGAGGAGAACACAGGCAAAACACTCTCTGACATAAATCACAGCAAGATCCTCTATGACCCACCTCCCAGAATATTGGAAATAAAAGCAAGAATAAACAAATGGGACCTAATGAAACTTAAAAGCTTTTGCACAACAAAGGAAACTATAAGCAAGGTGAAAAGACAGCCTTCAGAATGGGAGAAAATAATAGCAAATGAAGAAACAGACAAAGGATTAATCTCAAAAATATACAAGCAACTCCTGCAGCTCATTTCCAGAAAAATAAATGACCCAATCCAAAAATAGGCCAAAGATCTAAACAGACATTTCTCCAAAGAAGCTTTTCCTCTCTTAAGAACACTTCAGGGACTTCCCTGGTGGTCCAGTGGCTGACTCCACACTTCCAGTGCAGGGGACCAGGGTTTGATCCCTGTCCAGGAAACTAGATCCCACATGCTGCAATTAAAGATTCAGCATGCCATAATTAAGACTGAGTATAATCAAATAAATGACTTAAAAAAAACTATGTTATTTGTATAAGCATATTAAAAAAAAAAAACCTTGTTGTTCAAAGTGTGGTCCATGGTATAGCAGCCACAGTCTCATTTGGAAGCTGCTGGGCTTCCCTAGTGGCTCAGAGAGCAAAGACTCCGCCTTTGCTCCAATTCAGAAGACCTAGGTTCAATCTGTGCGTCGGGAAGATCCCCTGGAGAAGGAAATGACAACCCACTCAACTATTCTTGCCTGGAGGATCCCATGGACAGAGGAGCCTGATGGGCTATTGTCGATGGGGTTGCATAAAGTCTGACACAACTGAACGACTAACATAATTGTCACCATTAGGTCCGAAGAGATTTCTGCCTTGAACCTCCTCCTTTTACCATGATTGAAAATATCGCAACCACACTCACACTCTTGTCATACACAGAATTTCACTCATATTGCCTTACTTCATCCTGTGTCATCCCCATGGAGCATGTGGCTCCTTCCCTGTTACACAGGAGGAAGAGAAAGCTAAGGTAGGGCTACCTCATTATCATCTTGGGATCCCGCATCTGGACAGAGTCTTAAAGATTTCCCCCAGCTAGTGGCCTTTCATCTACTTGGTTTCCTTTGTTTTCAGCATTGACACCTCCTCTTCAAATGCCCTGCAGGGAAGTTGAGTTTGGGATGCAGAGGGCTGGGTGGGAGTGGGGTTCTAGGGCTGGAGCCCAGCTTCTCAGCCTCCCCTTTATGGACTTTGTTTCTAGGGACCTCAGAGGGGCATGCACGGAGCTCTATTTGGAAAACCTTGATCTAAATCAACACTCCTGGGACAAGGAGGAAGTAGGCCTTAAGGAGAAAGGTGACTTGGCCAAAATCACACAGCAGGCTCTGGACCCAGCACGGTCTGACTTTAGGAATCCCTCACCCCCACCCTGGGACCAAGCCCAGAGGTCAGCATAGCCCCAGGGAGGGACAGCTCCCGTTGCTGGCCCAACTCTATTTAGTGGAGATGTGTTTGATAAACCATCATTCTTGTAATCCTTCATTTCCATCTCGTGGGGTCAAATTCAACATTCCACCTGTGAATGTTTTTTGTAATCTTATTTATTTATTTTTGGCTGTGCTGGGTCTTAGTTGCTGCTCAGGCTTTCCTCTTGTTGTGGCGAGGGGGGCTATTCTCTACCTGTGGTGCTCAGGCTTCTCACTGGCTGGCTTCTCTTGTTGCAGAGCACAGGTTCTAGGGTGAGATGGCTTCAGTAGCTGCACCACATGGACCCTGTAGGTGTGGCTCCAGGGCGCTAGAGCACAGGCTCAGTAGGTGTGGCTCTCGGGCTTAGTTGCTCTTTGATGTGTGGGATCTTCCTAGATCACACATGGAACCCAAGTCTCCTGCAATGGCAGGCAGATTCTTTTCCACTGAGCCACCAGGAAAGTCCTCCACCTGTTAATCTCACCATTTCCCAGATGCCCCCTTCCCTTACATACTGGGATGGAGGTGTGGGGGCAAGGTTTTTTATTTTTAGATATTTCAAAACTGTGAGTATACCATACATACAGAAAGCCCCCAACCACATCCATGCCAAGAGACAGAATGCTGCCTGGCCCCTCTGGCCACTGCCCAGCTTTCAGGCAGTTCATCCTTGCTGCTCTTAGTGGGCACAACTCTTTCTGCATCCCTCCCCACAACTGCTCCATCTTCCTGTTCTGAACCTTACATAAATGAAATTGTGCTCTCTGCATACTTTTGTGATTCTTAAACCCCATGTGATGTCTATAAGTTTCACCCATTTTGTGACCACAGCCAGTTTTGGTTTATCCATTTTCTTTGCTGTCGAGTGTGTATGAATGAATGTAGATGTGTGAATGTACATGATTTACGTGAATTGAGTACGTATGAATGATTATACATGTATGAATGTACACGAACCATTTTATGTGTACATGATTTATGTGTTAACTCTTTTCTTTAATATTTTTGTATCTATTTTTATATCTATTTATTTATTTGGCTGCACTGGGTCTTAGTTGTATGCAGGGTCTTTGATCTTCATTGTAGCATGTGGGATCTAGTTCCCTGATCAGGGATGGAACCTGGACCATGCACTGGAGGTGTGAAGTCTTACTCACTGGACCACCAGGGAAGTCCCCATGTGTTCATTCTTCTGGGGTAGGCTTTGGGTTGTTTCTAGTTGGGGGCTATTGTGGATGATGGTGCTGCAACCTTCTAGCAGAGAGATCTGCTATTCTGTTCTTCAAGGAGAGTGAGACCCCAGGAGGGACTCAGGAGAGGCAGCCAGGTCCACCCCAGGGGTTTAAAAGACCTGTCGCTGCCCCATCCCCACTTCTAGTTCTCTTTGCCCCAAGCCCGGCAAGGCCATAGACACAGCCAGCAAAGTAGATGAGTTTTCAAGTTTTTATCATAAAACAAAGCTTAAGTCACAGAGAACAGAACACTTTCCACTCAACACATACAACACACATTCACTGAGCACCAGTGAGGCCAGGCTGTGTGCTTGGCCCCAGGGGGGACCTGAGATGGGAAAGGTCACAGTCGCTGCTCCCAGGGGCTCACAGGCTGGTGAGGAGACAGACAGGGGCACATCTTCCAAACAAGTCTCAGGGACTCAGAAGCAGGCTAATATAGTCCAGGAGTGATTCATTCCTCCCAGGAAGTCAGGAGAAGCCACATTTGTGTGGCGTCTTGGGAGCTGGGGGACTTTTGGTGAGAGGGTGGGGGATGGGACAGCACTACAGGCAGCTGCAGGAGGTCTGGAGTGGAGGGCATGCTCAGGGCCTGGGCCAGAGGGTCTAGACTTCCAGGAACATTCCAGAAAAAGACAAAAACTAGGCGACCAACGCATTTGCTAACTTTTCATTGTTACAGGTTGAAAACTGAAAGCATTAATTGCTCAGTCATATCCGACTCTTTGCAACCACATGGACTGTAGCCACCAGGCTCCTCTGTCCATGGAAATTTCCAGACAAGAAAAGTGGAGTCGGCTGCCATTGCCTTCTCCAGGGGATCTTGCCAACCCAGGTACAGGTTAGGGTATCACAAAAATAAGAGATAAAAAAAGAAACACTATCACCTCCTTTCAACATCACTTCCTAAACATGGGACTATTTTAATATTCTACTCCCTTCCGGAAAGGACATCATTTCCAAATAAAAGACTCTCTTTCAAAGTCGGTTTAATTTAACAAAAAGAAATTAAGATTTTTTTTTTTTAAAAAAGAAAAAGATACCAGGAAATCCTTATTTCCCATTTTGCTACAGACCCTAAAAATCTTGCCCCTGGGGTAGCACCACTTTGCAAAACAAGAAATGGAAGCCGCTTAGGGGGACGGAAGTGAGTGCCTGGGGGCCTGGGGTGAGAAAGGAGGCGGAACTGGAGCTGGCCACAGGGTGTGGACTTTACCCTGAAGGCACAGGCCACCCTGAGGGCTTTGAGTAGGGCTGGGGTTCCATCTGCACTTTAGAAAAACCTTGTGGAGGGAGGCTGGGTGAGCAGAGGAGGTTGGAGACGGGGTCTTGTTCCCAGGGCTCTTGTACCTCCTTCTGAAGGTCCCCTAAGTCAAGGCCACCGTGCTGAGTCCCACAACACCTGGGAGACCCTGAGCAGGTGGATAGGCATCTCTGGAGTCATGGACGTGCTGGGACTGGGGACAGGAAAGCCTGAGCACCATGATTAGTCCTGCTGGAAGTAGAACTTGGTGACCTTGATGGCCTCTGTGGGCTTATTGGTGAGGCCCACCGGCTGGTCAGCCTCCAGCGATGTGCAGAGGAACCAGCCGGGACAGGCGGCCGACTCGAAGCTGGTGGTGGGGCCATTGTCGGAGCGGATGAAGGCAAAACGCTTGTCCTGCTCCCTGTTCTGGTTTAAGTCGGTGATGTTCACAGCCTGGAAGTCAAGAAGAAGCAAGTGAGGGCACAGGAGCAGAGAGGTCCTTGCAGCCCGCCTTGCCATCCGGCTGCCCAGAGTAAGTGCTGGGGAAATGCTGGCCTGGCAAAAGTGTCCTGGGTCTCAGGACAGCTTGACACAAGGAGGTTGTCCCATGCTTGCACTTTAATTTGGGGACATCTGACCACTGTAGCCTTAGGTCAATATGTTTGGCAAACACATGGTACCATCAACAGAGGCCAAGCCCTGTGGAGGCTGGACTCTGTTGTATCTGCACCTCTGAGAGTGCAGCAGCTGGGCAGGGAATGGCAGTCCATATTATTGACAATATCTTGGTCATTGCTACTCCACACAAAGCAGGCAGTCACTTTCCACTAAAGTGCCTGTTCACTAGTGGACAGAAAGGACAATGCCACAGTTACAGCCACTTTCATTTGGGTTAAGATTTTGTCCAACAGTCCCCTGATAGAAAGCTCTCTTTTTCCAGGGCTTATAGACCATTAATGTTGCACAGGTGCACAAGGCCCTGGAGGGGATGCCAGCTCGTGGATTTGAGTAGATAAGGGCTGGAAAAGAATGGTCCCAAATGTTGGCTTTACTGGAAGAGGGCAAGTCCAAGTGGGTTAGTGGCCCTTGGGCAAGAGAGTGACACACAGAGACTGAGGTCCCCAAAGGAGCCATGCCTCCTGGTGTCTTCATCCTGGTAATCCCCTCTCTCATTGAAGCTAGAATTAGCCACATGGCAAGCTTTAGTTGATTGGACATTAATGGTATGATACAAACGAAAGTTTAACAAGCATTTGCACACTAAGGCTTGCCTTTTTGGAGTTATCCCTTTTGGAAACCAACCGCCATGCTGTAAGGAAGCTCAAGCTGACAACTGAATTCAGTGAGACTGTGTGGAAGGAAAACCTGGAGGATGAGCCCCAGCCAAGCTCCCTGCTGGATGTGCCTGCAGGAGGGAACTCAGCTACACCATGGAGCATAGATCTACCCAGCTGATCCCAGTCGACCCACAGAATCATGAGAAAGGACACACTGTGTTTGTTTCAAGCCACTGAGTTTGGGGGTGGTTGTTGTCTGAGGCAGGTCCTCACCTCTAACTTGAGCTTGATCTCATCTCCAGATTTGACGCAGGCCAGGCACAGCTTCCCCCCATGGATCCCCAGGAACATAGTATGGGGTTCGATGGGTACCACATCTATCTTCTCTGGGGAAGAACAAAGGGGAAGTTCAGATTGTAGAGAAGAGGAGGCAGAGATGGAGAAGACACAGCAGGCTGGACTCTCCCTGGGGACTTTTCTGTCCCCCTAACTAAAATTCTGGGCTTCCCTTGTGGCTCAGTGGTAAACAATACTTCTGCAATGCAGGAGACAAGGGTTTGATGCCCATGTCGGGAAGATCCCCTGGAGAAGGAAATGGCAACCCACTTCAGTATTCTTGCCTAGGCAATCCACAGACAGAGGAATCTGGCAGGCTAGCATCCATGGGGTTGTGAAAGAGTCAAATACAACTTAGCAACTAAAAAAACAAGCAGATTAAAACCCCAAGGTCAGAAGGAGAGTGAGGCCCCATCTTCTTGGTCAGGATCCAAACAGAAGATCAAACCAAGCACACTATCCAGCTACTCCTCAAGGACCAAGGCACCTCAATTCTGCTCCCGGTGATTGCCACCCTTCCCTTCTTTCCCTGGGCTTCCCAGGTGGCTCAGTGGTAAAGAATCCACCTGCCAATGCAGTAACGCAAGAGACAAGGGTTTTATCCCTGGGTTGGGAAGATCCCCTGGAGGAGCAAATGGAAACCCACTCCAGTATTCTTGCCTGGAAAATCCCATGGACAGAGAAGCCTGGTGAGCTACAGTCTATGGGGTCACAAGAGTTGGACATGACCGAGAACGTGTGCACACCCCCTTCCCCAGGACCCCTGTGCTCTAGGTCCACAGGTGTGCTGCCCGTGGGGCCCAGTACACGAGATCATGAGTGGGCCCCAGGGCTTGGTCCACAGAAGCCTGGGTGTGTTTGAGCCCATTTTTCCCTTTGGTGGTCTCCATGCACTCATTGGGAGTGAAGACCTCAGTTTGTCTGTGCTTTAACCTCCTTATTCAGAGAGTTACCAGAGGACAGGAAAAGTGGGTCTCACGCTCTTTTAGAGTGAGGAAGGGGCAAAGAATAAGAATGGCGATCATGCCATTCTACAATACCAAACCAGCCAACAAGGATGTGAAAACATCCTAGAGAGATGGTGCTGGAAGAAACCCATATCCTATCATTCAATTGCCCTTCTCTTACTAAGGGGAAAACCAAGGAACAGAATGAGTGAACCTTGTTCAAATTCATCCAGGTTGAGATGGATCTAGAACATGACTCAATATGATGTCCAAGATTAAGGGATATAAGCCAGCCTGTGGATGGTGTATTAGTTTTAGGTGGGAGTGAGAATTTGAACACACAGAAACATGGGGTTCCTAGGCACTGGAGGAAGAAAGGGGCTGGTCTTGTTTCTGGGCTCTGCCCTCCCATTTGTGGCCTGGGGATCATGGTGTCCACAGGTGGTGGCCCTCAAACTAGGCTCTGCCCTCTCTATCTTCTTGAGGCTCCCCTCATATGTGTCCTTCAGTGGCCAGGCCTTTCTAGCTTCAAACGTGGCCACAAAGAACCAACAGGGATTAAGACATGGTACCTAAAATTCCCAGGGTCAAGCCACAGTTCTGCAGACCCCTGGGCAAAGTGACTGGTGCCCACTCAGCATTGACTTTCCTGGCCACCACTCACCTTCTAATTTAGTATTTTGCCCTTGCAAGTATCCAGCAACTAATTGGTTATTCCTCAGGTAGAAGATCTTCTGGTTGACATCCCAGATCCTGAAAGACAGAAGGACCCAGCTATAGTGGACAGCTGCTGTGTGCCCAGCCCTTTTTCTGTATTCCCCAGAGTGTATTCAGTTTTCTCCCAGGGGTGTGGAATTAAACACACCCATAGCATAGATGTGAAGACTGAGGTCAACACTGGTTAAGAGACAGACACAAATCCCAGATCTGGTAGGCCATGTGCCTGCCTTCTACCCCTCTTCTCACCTTGTTCCTCATCCTCAGCTTCCCAAGCATCCACCTCCTACTTCAGCAAAGCAGACTCTAGATTAGGACCATTAATAAACTTCCTAGGTGTAGACATGTTCTTTGTCTGCACCATCCAATATGGTAGCCATCAATCACTTGTAGCTATTGAGACGTGCAGCTATTGAGCTCTTGAAATGTGGTGTGATTGAGGATCCGCATATTTTCTAAACTTTTTTTTTTTTTTGGTCACGCAGCATGTGGGATCTTAGTTCCCTGACCGTGGATCAAACCTGCACCCCTTGCATTGAAGCACAGAGTCTTAACCACTGAACCACCAGGGAAAGTCCCAAATTTTTTATTTTCTTGTATGCTTATGAATTTAAATGTAAATCTAAAGAGTAATCTGATATTAGTGGCCCCAAAAGCACAGAGCTAGAAGCTTCAAGGGTCACGCCCCATTGCAGCTAACTTGCTCCAAGCCTTAGACCATGAAGACTTGTCCTCAAAGTCTGTTCCCTATTGGCAAGTCAGCTTCCCTTCCAATTCACCCTGTGGCCTATTTCTGGCTCCCTGTTTTTTCTTCTTGGTGAAGGGCCTCTCTGGCTGAGAGCAGGGCGTGTAGCTGTGAGATGGAGTAACAGGGCCCCAGCCAGGACGTGGACACTTCACTCCCTGTTGCCTCCATCCCCCAGCATGACCTTGGACCTGTGCCTCATCTCCTCACCTGTGAAAGGGGGCTGGCAATACCCATCTCATCAGGTGACCTTGAAAAGCTCATGAGCTCAGCGAGAGGGGGTCAGTCAAACTGTAAAGTTCTTGGCTGGAATGAGCATTTGACTTGTCATAAGTATTCTTAGCTGCTGGATGAGTTGAATTCCATCTGAAGGGATTAAACTTTCCTTTCTAGGGGTCTCCAGTGGTAACTTCTGGAGATCCCACCAATGGGAGGAGGTCGAGGCAGAACCCTAGGAAGGGGAGGGGCTTCTCTGGGACCCACACAGGCATGCAGAGTCCCAACCTGTAGCCTCAGGCGAGAGAAACTCTGCACAAAGAAGCAGAGAGGGGTACTGTGGACAGGACACAGTCCAGAGTTCCAGACTGGGAACTTGGGAATTTTTAAATGCAAGTGCTGAAGATCACTGATGTGGCAGCCAACCTTAGTTAAGCTAACCTTAGGCAGCTAATCCTAACCTTAATTATTGTGAAAGTGAAAGTGAAGTCACTCAGTCATGTCCAACTCTTTGCGACCCCGTGGACTGTAGCCCACCAGGCTCCTCCCTCCATGGGACTCTCCAGGCAAGAATACTGGAGTGGGTTGCCATTTCCTTCTCCAGGGGATCTTCCTGACCCAGGGATCGGACCCAGGTCTCCCGCATTGTGGGCAGATGCTTTAACCTCTGAGCCACCAGGGAAGCCCAACCTTAATTATTAAGGGAAGCTTAATGGCTCAGATGATAAAGCATCTGCCTACAATGTGGGAGACCCGGGTTCAATCCCTGGGTTGGGAAGATCTCCTGGAGAAGGAAATGGCAACCCACTCCAGTATTCTTGCCTGGAAAATCCCATGGACGGAGGAACCTGGTAGGCTACAGTCCATGGTGTCACAAAGAATCAGACACGACTGAGCGACTTCACTTCACTTCACTTTGAAGTCCAAACCCAAGGCAGCCCCAGATGGCTGTGTCCTGCGACGCTTTTCTATCCCTCCAGCCCCACTTCCTTGGGGTCAGCCTTACCTGAATGCTTGCATCTCGCAGGGTCTCTTTCCCAAGGGGTGGCAGGCTGTTTCTGAATGGAACAGGAAGAGGAGGAGACAGATTAGGTAACCGTAGATGTAGATGTCCATCCTGTGGCCTCGAGGCGATGGGAGACTGCCATTTCAGACCCAGAGAAGCTGCTTATAAAGAAAATAGTCGCTCACCCAGCCAGGCTGTGGCCGCCTGTCCCACGAAAATGAACGGAAACGCCTGCACATTTCCAAAACGAGAAACCTTGCTGTTGTCACTTTCAACCCTGCCGAGTGTCGCAATGGTATGTCGTAACCCATTCCCTCCCCTTTTCCTCTGTGCAATTTCCCCAAAATCGAGATTTCTATTTCCCCTTCACCCAGTTCCTGGGAAGAAGAGCACAATGAAAACCCAAGCCCCTTATCTGCCCGACAGGTATCCTGAGGCTTTGAAAAAACCAAATGTGAATAGAAATGTCCCCCTCTTGTAAGAAGCCAAGTGGCAGGGTTCCCAGTGCACGTCAGAGACTCAGGCCATTTTGTGTTCTTTGAAAGAGGGACAGCCTTGCTGGACTTTGGACCAGGGGCTGGCAAATACTCTGTCAGACAAAGATCAGATAGCAAACATTTTAGGGTTTCTGGGGCCATACGTCATTATTACTCAACTTGACTGTCATAGTTGAAAAGCAATCTTAGACAATCTGTAATGTGTGCGTGTGTGCAGTCACTAAGTCGTATCTGACTCTTTATGACCACATGGTCTGTAGCCCACCAGGCTCCTCTGACCATGGGATTCTCCAGGCAAGCATACTGGAGTGGGTTGCCATTTCCTCCTCCAGGGGACCTTCCCGACCCAGGGATCAAACCCGTGTCTCCTGCATTGGCAGACAGATTTTTCCCCACTGAGCCACTGGGGAAGCCCAGCCAGTCTGCAAACCCACAAGCTAATTGGGTTCCAGGACAACTTTATTTACAAAACAGGTGGTGGCTGGATTTGGCTTGAGGCTTGCTTTCTCCTGATGTAGAGTAAACTTCCTGAGAGGGGACTTTGAAACCAACTCTATTCCTGTTATCCATGTCTTCGAAGTTAGGGTCTTGGGAAAATGGGATGAACTCCACATCCCATTTGGGATGGAAATGAATCCAAAATCTGCCTCTGGCATGTGCTGTTTGCCACCTGTGTGACTTGGAACAGATCATTTGTTTGGGTCTCTGCTTCTACCTCTTCATACTCAGAATGAGGTCGATTATGTCATCCTTACGGGTACAGGGAGAGAAGAAGGTATGAGAGGGAGGAAGGAACAAAGGAATGCGGGAAGGGAGGAGGAAATGGAGGGAAGGAGGGAGATTGGTTGACTGGAAGGTGAAAGTTCTGGGTCAGAGTGGGCACTCAGAAACATTAACTTCCTTTCTTACTACATTCTAGACAGTTAGGGAAAAGGAAAGTGTATTCCTCTTTATGGACAGAGAAGAGTTGAAGTGGGTCCCACATGATCTCAATGGTAGGAGGATGGACCTCTAATGCAGAAGGACAGATTGTGGTATTTGAGAACTTGATGGGCACTCAGCATCATCCTGCCTCACCCCATCCTTGTTTCTGAAGAAGACCCAGAAAAGGAAAGACATCTGCCCAAGGTCACACAGCTCGTCCATGGCAAGGTACAGCCAGAAATCTAGGTCTACTGGTTCCCACCAAAGGGACACCCTATTACAGCAGCAGATCTTGAGGAGTCTGAATTTATTTGCAGCCAACCCATCAGAGGTTGTGTCCAAATGAGGGTAAAATCTGTGAAAAAGGAAGGCTTGCATGGCATATTTGAAAGTTACTAGGAGAGTGGATCTTAAGAGTTCTCATCATGAGCAAAAGCAAAAAATTAACTGTATTACTGTGTTGTACCTCTGAAACTCACATAATGTAATACATCAATTGTTGCTGTTAGTTGCTAAGTTATGTCCAACTCTTTTGTGACCCGAAGACTGTAGCCCGCCAGGCTCCTCTGTCCATAGGATTTCCCAGGCAAGAATACTGGAGTCGGTTGCCATTTCCTATGTCATTTGTACCTCATAAGTCAGTTATACCTTGATAAAAATGTTTTTTTAAAGAGGAAGTTTGCAAATTAACTTTCTCAGCTCTTTGAAGAGATCTTTCAGAGCAAATGCAGCATTTCTGCAAAAGTTGTATCACCTCCCTGAGTGAAACAAAACAGCATGTAGGCCCTTTCTGGGCAGGGGGGTAGGAGTTCCTGGGGCTGTTCAGTGGAGTCACTTAGGACTGGGGCTCCTGGGCAACAAGCCAGGGCTCTCTGGATCTGTTTCCTTATCTATTGTGTGTATTAGTTGCTCAGTTGTGTCCCGACTCTTTGCAACCCCATGGACTGTAGCCTGCCAGGCTACTCTGTCTGTGGGATTTCTGAGGCAAGAATACTGGGGTGGGTTGTCATGCCTTCCTCCAGGGATCTTCCCAACCCAGGGATCAAATCTGCATCTTTTCCGTCTCCTGCATTGGCAGGAGGGTTCTTTACCACTAGCACCACCTGGGAAGCCACCCTCTACTGGCATCTCTGACTACATGTAGTCTCGCTTCTGGTGGTCAGCCTTCACTCTGCTTCCTGAGCTGAGGTTAATGATCACGCCACAGAGTGGACTCTGCCTCCCCCAGCTCAGCACCCTGAGCTTCCCTCCCAGATCCAGACATCACCGCTGTACCTGGTGCCTGCTACGTGCCAAGCCCTGCCCTGCTAGCCACCAGTGACAACAGAAATAACTAAGACCCACTTCAAGGGAAACAGGACATTTAGGCGAAGTCGGTGTCCTAAGAGTGACATGAGACGGGCTCCACGGAGACCACACCAGTGAATCTTCATTGTGGATGCCTGAAAAGTGTTCAGGGCAGTCTGCCTACATAGGAAGTATCCTGTACATGAGAATTATTTCTCAGTTTCAGGTAACGGCATCTTTCAGTTCTAGGATTTCCAGCTGCTTCCTTTTTTTTGTAGAGTTTCTAGTTCTCTGCCAAAAGTTGCAATTTTGTCTTTTACACCTTCGATCCTGTTATTCATTCAGGTTCTTACAAAGGCTGCTCCAGTTGACTCTGTCATTTGAATCCCTGCTGGGTTTCCTTCTATTGTCCCTTTTTCTCTGTTGCACATATTGTCTTGTGTATGCTGATGACTTTTATTAACTGTTGGATACTGTAGCAAAAACTGTGGGATCATTTGAGGCTCTGGGTAATGTATGCCCTCAGAGACACTTCATTTTTTTTGTATACAAATGTTTATAGCAACATTATTCACAGCCACATATTCTTAACAGCCTAAATCTGAAAACAATCCAAATATTCATCAGTGGATGGGTGGACAAACTGTAGTTATCCTATGATATTGTTGTTGTTGTTTAGCCTCTAGGTCATGTCTGACTCTTTGCAACCCCATGGACTGTAGCCCATCAGGCTCCTCAGTCCGTGGGATTTCCCAGGCAAGAATACTAGAGTGGGTTACCATTTCCTTCTCCAGCGGATCTTCCTGACTCAGGGATCGAAGTCGTGTCTCCTGCATTGGCAGGTGGGTTCTTTACCACGGAGCCACCTGGGAAGCCTTATCCTCTGATACACTGCTGGGCAATAAAAAGAAGCAAAATATTGATACATGCAACAAGATGGATCAATCTCCAAAACTTGGCGATGAACGAAAGAAGTTAAGTACAAAAGACAATGTGCTGTGTCATTTCTTGTATATAAAATTCTAGAAAAGGTAAAACTATAATGATAAGATTCTCAGTTGTCTGGAGCAGGGGGTCTAGGGAGGGTGTTGACTGTGATGAAGCATGGGAAATTTTCTTGGAATGAATATACTTAGTGCTACTGAAATATACAGTTAAATATGGTTAAAATAGTATGTTTTAAAAGATTACTTATTTATTTATTTTTAGCTGAGCTGGGTCTTCGTTGCTGAGTGGGTTTTTCTTTAGTTGCAGAGAGTAGGGGCTACTTTCTAGTTGTGAGGCATGGGGTTCTCATAGTGGTGGCTTCTCTTATTGCAGAGCATGGGCTCTAGGGCACACAGGCTTTAGTAGTTGCAACTCCTGGGCTCTAGAGCTCGGGTTCAGTAGTTGTGGTACACGGGCTCAGTTGCTCTGCGATATGTGGGATCGTCCCTGACCAGGGATGGAACCTGGTGCTTCTGCTGGGCACCAAGGTCAAGGGCACTGCAGCCCCAGGTAACTTCACCCAAACAGGGCTTGAGATGACTCAGAACTGGGTTTCAGGAACTGTGCAGGCTGCTCCATTTCTGTTCACTCCCAGTGCTCCAAGGTCCCAGCCCAAACCTGGGTTGTTTAAGGTGGGGCAGGTCTCTCCTACTCAGTGGGAGATAAAGTACAAACTGTGTCTTCTCCCACCCTGAGTCCCACGAGTCTGCCTGACAGAAGTGGTTGAAAAATTGAGCAGGAGTCAGAGAAGGAAGGACTTTTAATTCCTCTCCAAGGAGCAGGGCATTTATCTAAAAGGAAACTGAATCAGAGGGTGACAGTGTAAGATTTGTCCTATTAAGATCAACCTAGGAATAGTGACCAGATGGATCAGAGTTGGACTGAGCTTGGGGGTGACTGAACCTGAAACAGTGGGGTGACACAGATCTTGGCAGGGGGTGCTGACAGCAGAATCTCCAAAGGTGTTCTTCTGACTTGTAACGTTGGCCAAATTTTTGGGTGTATATGCCCACCATGGATGATTTCAAGCCATCCATCTCGTTGAATGAGTCGGGGAAGAGATGGGATCTTGCTGTCTCCAGCACCCTAAAGGTACAGGGAGATTTGACAGCTCTTGAGTCTTTCTAGAGAGAAATTGTCTTCATATTTCCTGACTCCAGTCTTCCTCCTCTTTAGCCCAAATGGCTCACCACATGGGTCCCGTCTCCCTTGCAAAAAAGCAATGTGCGTGCATGCTCAGTCGTGTCCAACTCTTTGCGACCCTGTGGATTGTAGCCCTCCAGGCTCCTCTGTCCATGGGATTCTCCAGGCAAGAATATTGGAGTGGGCTGCTATGCCCTCCTCCAGGGCATCTTCC